TAAAAGTAAGAAACAGCTGAAAAGTTTGCTTTTGAAGAATCCTAGAAATATCTATATTTAAATTTTTCTGATTTCAGTTTAATTTATTTGCTACGTCATCCAAAATATGAAAACTGATTACTAGAAATGAGGCATGAAAATAAAAATAATAACAGAAATATTATATTAAGAGTTTAGTGCTGGGGATTTGCCTCAGTGGTTCTGCCACCTGCCTCCCAAGAGCAAGGTCCCGAGTTTGATCCCCGGTAATTAAAAAAAGAGAGAGAGAGAGGGAGTTTAGAAAAATTCAATTTGAGTCTTAGAAAAATGTAATACAAATATGCTTATGGGTTTTAGGTAAAGCTGTTGACATTCGAAGGGTAAAATATTTAACGTAAAGGGCCTGGAAAATAATACACAAACACCCAGAGGAACTTCTCAATTCACAGATAAAGAATTATCCAATATGATTGAAAGAATATACCAAATTCCATGCAGGTAGACTACAGGTGGGTCAGTAGAGCGCAACAGTGGTTTTTCAGCTCTAAGTATCTGAAATTAAGCTACAACTTTATACATTATCCTACTTCTAAGAGCAGTTATTCATTTTGCACCAGTATGTTTAGCTCATTCTACCATTTTCCTTACTGCTCACCAGATTCTCCTGAAGTTTTCCCTGGCAGTGCCTGTATGATTTGATGAGTCACATCCTCAGTAAGGTCGCGCTGCCTTTCTTTTCCCATAGAATAAAGAAGGGTAGGTCTACAAAATAAAATAGTATTTGTTTCATCCTCAGTGCTGTGTTTTCAATCATCAAATCATGGACTCGTGATTGAAAAGTGGAGATACAAATAAAATGCAATCAAAATGGAATAAGCACACTTCTATCTAGGAGGATTAACTTTGTTTGCTTCTGGTGGGATGAATATAAGGACATTGCAGGCCCGGAAAATGACATAAACGAGACACCTAGGGTATGGGAGTAAGAGTTGACTTCAAACAATCATTTGTTCTTGTAACCAGCTTTCATCATGATGTAGTCTGTCCAGATTCCATTTATATATAAAAAAAAATGTTTTCTAACATCTCTAAGGTTACTTCTAGTACTGTCTACTCCAGAAAGAAATAAAGATGAATTGTACTACAAAAAAAATAATGTTTTCCAATAACAATAATTAGGGGTAATGGAATGACTCTTGCTGTATATAGTGAGAGGAGATTTTCATTTACTTTTAAAATCTAAAAGCCACAGGAATATATAAAATGAATAAATATAATGTAGAGAATAAAAATCATATTTATTTGTGACAATAATAAGAAAAGAGAAGGGCATAATAACCCTAGCTTTACCAAAGTAAGTATTAGGAACTGGGCATGGAGCACCTGCCTGTAATCCCAGCCCACTGGAAGCTGAAGCAGGAAAATCACAAATTTGACTCCAGTCTGTATTTCTTCATGAATTACAGAGACTCAATATATATTCAAAATGGTGCTGGGGAGGTAGCATATTGGAGTTTCAGCTTTCATTCCCACTACAGGAAAGAACAATAACACAACAAGTCATATAATCTAAATATCAATATTTTATGAATGGTAGTGTAAAATTTCAGAAGAAAGTCCCTATTAATTTGAAATATATAATAAAATGATACAGTGGTGATCAATATAAACTTTTAGACAAAATAATGGCACTGCATTTTAATAATTTAAAATAAGCAAGTATTCAGTACAGTACTTAATTTTTTAATTTAGCATATATACTAATTTTATCTTTCTAATATAAACCTATTTAATGCAAGTTTTGAATCTTTCATACTATACACGCAATCAGATATTAATCATGGTAATATTTTGAACTATATCTGAAGCAATTAACAGAATGCATTAAAGATGTTTTATAGCTTTTTTCTACATATTATAATATAATATCCAATATCAACCAAAAAGATAGTACAATGATGGAAACACTTTAACACACCTCTCTACTCAAGAATTGCAATGTTATTAAGAACTATATCCTACAGAAACTTTACTTGCACTGCATATTTTTGTATTTAAGCTTTTTTCAATTTTACCTTGTTTGGATAGAGTCTTATAATTTATTTCTGAAAAATATTTTAGTCCAAATGCTGTTTCTGACATTGTCATGCAAATTGATTATGGTTTTAGTCATTTTTATGATATAAAATCATGGCAGTTATTGTGGCCACCTGTTGTTTGAATGCAATGGTATTTTATTGTTAGTGTCATTGTTTCTAATTTTGCTGGTATTATATATATTTGAGAATTTTATGACAGTCTATCCAAAAAAATTGTTGGCTATATGACATTGCTAATGTCCATTGTTAATTTCTGGTTATACAACTGAAAAGTTACTGCATGATGTGTTTTTAACTTATAGACTTTTCCCTTGATCTATACACACACTTGCCCATAGATAAATTTTGCCAAACTTTATAGTACTATGTCATCCAGGTTTATATTAAAAGATAAGTCAATTAACCCCACATTTCTCTAAATGCCAATAACATTGAATATATTTCATGCATTTATTTGGCATTCTTATAAGTTCTCCTGATAAATATTTATCATTAATTATCTGTCCTTATGGGTCAGGTATTTAGCTCAGTGGTTCCTCTGCCTGACTTGTAAGTGCAAGGTCCTGACTTTGATGCCCGGTACAAAAATAATATATGTATACATTTGTCTTCCTGTATAGTTTGCTGTCTTCAATGCATTTTTACTATATACAACAAATTTGATTTCTGGATCAGTCACAAATGCTGCAAATATCTTCCCCTATTTTGTGACCCTTTTTCTCTTATTTTGTAAAATATTTAGAGAAATTGAAAAAAGGTTGTTTTAATGCAATTAAATTTATCAATTCTTTTTTCACGATTGTTGCATTTTGGGTTTGAGATCTTTTATTACTTAAATTCATATGTGAAAGTATTTTCTTAAAATATTATAAGCATATTTTTATGTATCAAACTATTTTAAAGTGTTTTATGTTATCTTTATCATGTGTATAACCAGCTGTTCTAAAACCGCTTACTGATAAACTCTTTAACTCCAATTATTCTGCAGTGGTATCGTATTATAAATTGACTTTCTATATATGGTGGGTCTGAGTTTTGTTTTCTCTTTATCCCTGTGTCATTATCCAGTGGATCATGTTCTAATAGAATGTAATGACATCACAAATCATAGGGCAATTTTCCTTTTTTGCATTTTTCTCACAAATCTCAATAGGCCCAGTGTTTATAAACACTTCAATTTCTACTAATAACTCTATCTTGAGTCCTATTAATTTTATTGAATATAAAAATCCATCTGAAGAGGTCAGGCTTATTTATGACATTGTACCATAGCCACATAATAGAGCTCTTAATTTCATTATAGTTTCTTTATTAAAGTTCAAAAAACGTGATCTGTCTATAAATCTTTCATATTATTAGATTAATTTTTAGAGTTCTTTACTTTCTGCTCATTAACTGTGAGTTTTGTACTGTATGATGTATGTGATTTGTTGTTTTATATTTTTAGAATATATGGATATTACATTTTCCTTTTTGTTTTTCTTATTTTGTTGAGTTTTAGTGTATACAATTTTATGATTTTAATCTAGTAGATTTTGGATAAATTTCTTGAAGTAAAAAACATTTCTCTTCTTGCTCTCCTTGTTCCCACCTTTCATTTTTTTCTTTTCTTCTTTCTCTCATTGCTGAATATACAAATAATCTTCAAGTTTTTTCCACCAAAATAACTGTTTAGTACATAAGTGAGGTAAGCTTACACTCGTGTTTGCTTTTCCACTGATATCTAATTTCTCTCAGCAAGATTTTATGTAAATAGTATCAGACACCCACAAGTTACAGAGCATAAGGTGTGGAACATTTCCTCCTTCATCTGTTTTCTACAAGAAAATGTGCACAAGACTGAAATTAGTTGTCTCCTTAACTTTAATAAAACCACTTAGACCTTGGAAAATTTGCTTCCTACAATTTATTTTCTAAAGCATTTGATGATACTATTTAGATAGTCATTCTCTTTTGAGTACATCTATGGGATTTTATCTTACCATTAATATCTTCTGAATAAATATTTATACCTCCTTTCCCAAAAAAAAGGCTAGCTTTACTATTTCATACTGTCTTTGATAAACCTCTGTATATTTTATGTCTTTAATCTAGTCTCGCTTCTTAATGTGTTAGTTTATTATAATTTAAATTTTTGCTTTTTAAAAGAAATTGGCAAATACATCAGTGATAAAAAAGACAAATAGAACTACTGTATGTCTAGAGAGTGAGGAAAAAATTTAGTGAAAGATAAATTTCTTGTTATGAATTTTGAATCTTTAGCTTTGGAATATAAAAATAAACTAAACACTAGCCTTTTCCTTACATCATTTAATAGGTAAACTTACCGCAATGTAGTACGTTTAAGATATTTTAAGATATTGAATGTAACATTTTGGAATCTAACAATGATATGTAAATCCCATGTTAAATTCTAACTTAAATTATTCATATTTTCCCCAACTGTGACTTAACATCCCACACTGCATATATTGCCTTACAAGAAGAAAATGATAAGTTGTGGAGAGTGTATTACTTTTTAGGTTCTGGGATTATTTATATCAGAGACCTTGAACTTTTTAAAGATTGTGTGATTGTGCTTTTCTTAGATTAATGATGAAATCAATGGTCCGTCTCTTAAACTCTGACAACACACAATGAGTTTTGACAACTTTCACCTTCTCCAGTTCCTGAGTAGCATGTAATCTCCTCAATATGAAAAATAATCATTTTAGCATTCCTGTCAGGCCTGGGGGTTCATTTTTCATTTTTCCCTAAGTTAATGAGCTCTAGCAAAAATTGCATTCATGAAGTTGTCTTTTGCCAAAAGTCCTGCCACTGCATATGGAGTTAGTGACAAGCTACAGTATTAAGAAGATTTGTTGTAATCCCAACCTGTGAGTGTGCATGGAAACACTAAATACATCCCTACGTGTTTTGCAGACAACCCTGGTTTGCTGAGCCATGTCACAGTGGGTATTAGAGTTCTGGATGTCAATGACAATCCACCCGAACTTGCCAGGGAATATGATATTGTTGTGTGTGAAAATTCTAAGCCTGGCCAGGTAAGTTGATTGTTTTCTTCCAGTCTTTGAATATAAGAAACATAAGCAGATTTATTTCTATTATACTGAGGTATAATCCTCCAAATCCCCCAGTGTCATGTTTGAACTCAGTGAAGATAATTTTAAAAAGCTTTACTTTAAGGACCAAGTAGATATTTTTAGAATTGCAGAAAGTAAATCTTCTCTATATTCCACATGTAATTCAGAGACAATGGACTTATTTATGCAGGATCCATTCACCATGCCAATGAAACTGTATCAAATGTTTTAGGTACAGCTCTGAATTAAACGAGAGGAAACTGAGCTTTTTTGTCTTAACATAGCTTGGAGATTCTACCAGGAAAAAGACCTGGTAGTGTACTTTGGGATACCCACAGGACTGACACATCAATAACAAGAGGGGCACTGCTACTAAAAAGGGCTTAGTGTTGACAAGGGGAAGTGTGTGTGTGTGTGTGTGTGTGTGTGTGTGTGTGTGTTTATACTGGGGATCAAACTGAGGTCCTTGTGCTTGTGAGGCAGGCAGCAGAACCACTGAGCTAAATCCCCAGCCTAGGGAAGTGTATATATTAATGGGTTCTGGAAGTGAGGTGTAGAGAAAGCTTAAGATAAGGATATGAGGCTCAATGTGCTATAATAACCATTTCAAAAAGCACAGAAGTACTGGAAGAAGTCTGGTTTGGTTGCAGCACACTGAACAGGTGAGTCCAGAAGGAAATGTGAATCAATCTTCTCTGCTGTATGCTAATATGCACAAAATTACTCACTGACAACAAAACATTGATTATCACACATTTTCTATAGTCAGACACCCAAGCACAGGCATGGCATAGCTGGGTCTTTGGAGAGTTTCACAAGACTGTGATCAGCTGTCCTGGCTCCATTCTCCTTCAAGGCCTGGGAATCTGTTTCAAGTCCACAGTATTGTCCTCAGTACTTAGTTCTTTTCAGCTGTTTCGGTTCCTTTCTGAGATTTTCAAGCTTATTCTCAGCCACTCAAGGCTGCCTACTGTTCTAAAATACCCCTAATTGTTTCTTGCTATATGGATTCTCGCAGTATGGTCACCTTCTTCACCATGTAAAAGGGAGGCTTGCTAGTGAGTCTTTTAGCAAAATGGTCTCTGGCAGTGTAATCTAGTGAGTCATCTGTGACTTTCTGTGAATGCAGGATTTCATTGCTCAGAGAAACCTGCAATTTATACCAAACTCTAAGTGGGAAGGTTTACAGAAAGATAAGCAATCTAGGAAGTTGTCTAAGAAGAGCTTTGCCACCTATACATCCAGAGGGCTATACATTGTCAAAGACATCCATCTGAGGTAGAAAGACTTTTACAGTTTGGTAAATCAGAATGAGTATGACATCCATAGTACTTTAGTCATTTTGTAACTTGTGATGAAATTATCTTTTCATGAAAATACTTCCTATAATTATGTATGAAGGACAATCAAAAGTAGTATAATGAGATAATTGTGTGTGTGTTTTAATATCACAAGGGGATATATTTTCTTCTATGTGGGTATTCTTTTCATAAGTAGTTCATGAGTCAGGTGGCTCTCAGAACTATAAGAGGTTCAGAGAACTCTTCTCAGCAGTGTGAGCAGCAAGCTTTAAAAGATCAAAGACAGACAAAACAGAAATCACCTGATTGGCTACAGTTAGGCATTTGCCTTACTTGGGTATCATCTGATAAATTTTCTGTGTAATATTAGCTGAAGCTCAACTCTTTGCGGTACCTTGAAATCTAGCCAGTTGTGCACTATGAAATAAGACTTCAGAGAAAAATGTTAAAATTTTAGATTGATGAAAATATAGTAAATGAAAATGATATTTGCAATCTTGATAACATTAGCTGACGGATATAAACTGAGAGAGAATAAATGATATTGAAAATAGATCAGATTTAAAATCCATGCTGCAACATGAAAATAAAGGAAGGATGCAAAAATAACATTATGGGCATATGGATAATATATTTTAACATTTATTGCTCAAATCCCAAAAGCATATGAGAAAGAGAATATAAAAGAATAGAAAAATCTATTATTGAGTTTCATATGCTTGTCTCAGTAACTGTTGGAATATTTACATGAAATTTTCGTAAGGCTATTGGAAAATTGAATACTATAATTAATATTTTCTGATTGAAAAATATAAAATTATATATTATTTTAAATTTGCACAAAATGTTGACAAAAATTTGCTATGTGTTGGGTCACAATACAAGTTTGAAGCATTTGCAAATAATAGGCCTCATTATGTTTTATTATAATAAAATATAGACATAAATAATTTTTGTTGAAGATTGCAAATGTACCTGACAACAAGAAATAAAGATACTAAATAAAAACTTCAAATTACATATATATGGCAGCAAAAAAGGCTATGAAATAAACAAAACTTTATACAACACAGACTGATAATCCAAATACATTATTAGTTTGATATGCTCTTCAAACATTATATGTTCTAGGCTGGGGATTTAGCTCAGGGGTTCGGTGGCCTCCCTTGCAAGTACAAGGACCTGAGTTCAATCCTCAGTATGACAAACAAAACAAAACAAAACAAAATAAAACAAAATAATTATAGATTCTTTCTCATTTTCTTTTAGTATAATACTTTTGAAATAATGTATTTACGTAGTATAGTTGAGAAGCTGTCCTAAAAATTTTATGATTTGTAAACTCCTTGGTTTTGTTAATTTGATAAATATCATACGCTGGTAGATTATATCACTTACATTTTCTAACAAAACTTCCCACAGAAAAGAAATATACTTATATTTGAAATCCAAAAACAACTAAAAGAGTTCCCATTTTGAAGATCAGATTTTTCTGTTTCAATTTTATTATATCCCATACTTATTTTTATTATATTTTATAAGAATAATGATAGAATTTAACACCAATACATATGTAATATTCTTACCAACAAATGACTATGAATTAAATCAAGCATGTAATTCAGAAAAATCATAAGGTTGGCAGAGAAACTATCAATATGCCAAATGTGAAAAATCTTACCACATCCATGACCAGGTTTCTCATTTAATAGTGCACACATATGTGTAAAAACATACCCCCCACAAATATACACAATGCATATTTATACAAGGCAATATACACTTTGGTATAATAAAACAGTGCAGTAATGTGTGGAATATTTGTGATTTGTGTGATTTGAGAAAAACAAGTATCTTTGAGGCAGTTGGAGAACTTGTAGTATGTACCAGATACTGAATGATATTAATGATTTATTATCCATTTATTCAAGTATAGTTATGATAAAATTTACTTAAAAATTAATATTTGTTATCACAGAAAATAGGTACAAAGATATATTGATAACATAACAAAATTTGTCTGAACAAATTTCCAACCAAACAAGCTGTAGTGACAGAAAGAAAGTTTGCAGAAGGCAGAGATGAGAGAGGAGAACGACGGATGGACCGTAATACATTTCATACTACTCATATATACAGATTCCATAAATTCTCAAATAAAAAAGAAAAGAAAATGAGAACCAAAATAAGTCATCAATTTGGTAGGCCAACATATAAAGAAAAATATTAATGTGTTGATAAATTTTTAAAATATGAAATGTAAAGGCTGAGATTTACCTTAGTAGTGCTACACCTGCCTAGCCGGAACAATGTGCTGAGTTTAATCCCCAGCACCAGGCAAAGAAAAAGGAAAGAGAAAAAAAGAAGAAAAGAGAAAAGGAGCATATGTGCTTTCTAACATACTCAATACATTAAAAATAAATTATTTGTTATCTCTTCCTCTTTAAATGTTCCCTTCACAAGGATGTAGTGGCCTTCTTTGTCTCTATCAATCAGTTTATGTTTGAAATTGACTTTGCGAATAAGATTGCTACCCCTGCTTTTTTCTGGGCTCCTGTGGCATGAAGAAGTTTTGCATCCTTTCACTTTCAGTCTATGGGCTTCTTTTTGCACTAGCTGTGCCTTGTATACAGCATATTATTGGACTTTGCTTCTTAATCCATTCTGCCTGTCAATTTCTCTTGATTGGTGAGTTGAGGCCATTGATATTGATGGTTATAACTGATATGTACTAACTTATTATTGTCATTTTTTTTCACCTTCTCCTTTTAGTTTCTTACCTTGCCTGTTTGATTTGCTCTGTTAGGCTTCACTATGTTGTTACCTTCATGATCTTTTTCTAGGATATTGTTTAGAATTCCTTGTAGTGCTGGTTTGGTATTCATGAAGTTTCTCAGGGGTTCTTTGTCATGAAGTATCTTATTTCCCCATCCATTTTGAAAGAGAGTTTTGCAGGATACATCAGTCCAGGTTGGAGGTTCTTTTCTTTTAGTACTTGAAATGTCTCATTCCAGGCTCTCCTTAAACCTAAGGGTTTGTGTTGAAAAGTCTGCTATGATTCTGATGGGCTTTCCTTAGCATGTGATTTGTTTCTTACCTCTTACTGCTTTTAGTATTTTGTTCTTCTGTTGGATTTTTGGGATCTTGATTATTATATGTCTAGGTGTAAATTTTTTTTTTTTTTGATCATGGCTAGTTTGAGTCCTACATGCCTCACTTATCTGTATGTCTAATTCTTCCCTTCTGTTTGGGAAGTTTTCTATAATTAATTCTGTGAACAGCTTTCTTAAGTCATTTGCATTTTCTCCTGCTACTTCTTGGATTCCTATCAGTCTTATGTTATTCTTTGCATCATTGAAGAGTTGTTGGATCAATTTCTCATGATCCCCTACTGTTTTTAAGAGACCTCTCTTTTCACGGTCACTGACTGCAATTTTATCTTCTATATCTGAGATTCTGTCTTCGGACTCTTTTATTCTGTTGCAAGCACTCTCCATGGAGTTTTTAATCTCCTGGATATCTACTCGAATCTGCCCTGTGGATTCCATTTCTTTCTTATGTTGGGCATTTATTGTTTCCAATTCTTTCTTATGTTGGGCATTCATGGCTTCTATCGTGTTCTTGAGCTCATCTATTTTCCTCTCAGTTTCTGTTCTAGAG